GCATCAGAAATGAAGCAGCATGCTCGTTTTAGCTGCTCCTGCTGCTTTAGGTGTGAACGTAGCATAAGTGAATGAAAACAGGTTATTGGTTGGGCTGATTGTAAACATCTGTGAGGGGAACCAGGAACTAGAACGATCCATCTATATTCTAAAGCAAACTCTAATCTCAGAAGGTTACAAGTGTGGATCTCTAAAGGTGGAGAGGAAAAGATTTACCACTGGATCACAGAGACCCCAGGAATATTCAGACACCACTTAACCTATCTAGGCTAGAAAACATTAAGGAAGTTTAAACAGTAACTGACAGAACTTAATCAAACATAAAATTAAGCAGAAATATAAAACACCCAAACCAACACAGATGACCAACAACACTGGAGGGCTAAATCATTCTCTACAGATCATTGGTTTCAAACCCTGCATGATTCCATCTTTGCCAGAGAGAAATATCTATGTGATGTTTCACCAAAGAGAGTTCTTCTATAACCACTGCCTTTTACAACATTCTGAAAGGGGCGGGGCTAATTAGTTTGCCTTAACGACTCATAACTGGTGTTTGCAGGGCAGAGTGCTTTACCACTTAGTAAGGGATCATATATATCAGATCAATCAATCAATTTGAACCCTTAGCTGAACAAGTTCTGCTGGGTTTCTGTTGTTTTATTTGTTTTGTTTTATTATTTTCATTTTTTGCAGATCTTTCTTAGAATAATAAAACCTAAATTACATTTTGCAGAATAAACTTTAATTACGCTACGGATCTAGGCGAACCTGGGATGAGGCAAAGCAGCCCAGATCATAACAGAGCCTCCTCCATGTTTCCCAGTAGGACAGCGTTCTTTTCCTCATATGCTTCATTTTTCCGTCTGTGAACATAGAGTTGATCTACTTTGACAAAAAACATTACATTTTTGTCTCATCTGTCCATAGGATATTCCCCCAGAACTTTACTTAACATGTAGTTTTGCAAATTCCCTTCTGACTTTTTTTATTATTTATTTTCAACAATGGTTTCCTCCCTGGTCAGTTCCCATTACGTCCACTGGTCAGTTCCCATTACGTCCACTGGTCAGTTCCCATTACGTCCACTGGTCAGTTCCCATTACGTCCACTTTGGCTCAAACGATGATGGACGCTGTGATTTGTCACTCTGGTTCCTTCAGGTATTCGTTCACCTTTAATCTCTTTAGAAGTGATTTTTCTTTCTGTGTTTTTCTCTTTCCTTTACTTTCTACATGTTGAGTGTTTATGGTTAAAAAGTAAAACCTGATTTTAATTTGTCCAATTTGAAAGAATCTATATTTATTATTACTTTTGTCAGATTCTATATATATATAGATAGATGGATGGATGGATGGATGGATGGATGGATGGATGGAT